CCAGGAGGCATCCAAGCTCCCGCCGGTCACCATATTCGAGGGTGGCTGGTGCTGAGGAAGAGCGGAGGCCAGACGTGTGGTGGCAAATGCTCTGCCAGGCAAAACCAGCTCTCACAAAGCAGGGTCCTGGATCTCTTTCTGTGCCTTGCTAACTTAGTGAGACTCCGCTGTGCTGTGTACAGTGAAGAAATCCAGACAGGAAAAAGGCAGTGGAAGAACTACTTCATGTGTGCCGAGCAATGGACAGGACTAGTGCATAAATCCGTGCAATGTAGAGGAAATTGTGATTAAGTCTGCACAAGGGGCACCGATACGGGTTTGTGTGCATCTAAAGGAAGAAAGATGACGTCGACTTTGGGATGGTGACATTTAAGCTGAGGACTTGAAGAAGGATCAATGCAATTTTTTTTAAAAAATCTATTTTATTAAAATGGTAGAAAAATTGTAGTAGAGAATGAACTGGTAGATCAGAGAAATAAAAATCTTGTGCAGTCCCACCCTCAGAAATATCCAAGGTTAATATTTGGATGCATGCATTATTTTGGTTTTGTTGTTACACAAATGAAGCTCTACTTTAGGTAACATTTGTTTCCTGCTCTCACTGTATGACATGACATTTTCCAAATGTTGCTGATTTTTTAATGTGCTATTTTATGGGGGAGTATTTTGTTGAGCTCTCCAAGCAGCCTGTGCCAGGCCCTATAAGTTATACTGAAAAAAAAAGATTGTCCTTTACGAATTCACATTAGACTAATTTTTAGCCACCCACAGGCTTGGACAAAGACTTTGACTTTGCAGAGTTCCTAGATTGGGAGAGGAGACTGATATTAAGTATGTAATCATAAAATAAGACTTCCTGGGGGATAAGTGCTATGGAAGAGAGTTGTGTGGGGCTATGAAGGCATATATGAGAATGGAGGGAAGTGGTCTTGGAATTCTAAGCAGCCTTTCTGAAGTCAGGAGTGATGGGTGAGTTCACTAAGTAAAGAGCCTACAGCCCTACAGGACTTAACTAGGTGGAGATCAAGAAGACCTTTTCCAGCAAAGGGGGAAGTGTTTGCAAAGGCCCTGAAGTTGGAGGGGACAAGGTGAAAACAACTGAAAAAAGGTTAAGGAGAACTGAGTGGAATGAGTCGGCCTAAGATGAGTTTGAAGGAGTAGGTGAGGCTTGATCCTACACAACCTGTTAGGGGAGATTAGTACTTTTGAGTATTTCTCATAGAGCTATGGGAGGCTGTTAGAGCTGGGGGTAGTGGTGTGAAGACCAAATTTATTTATTTTTTCAGAAAAACCCCCTCAGCCCTGGAGAGTGACAAAATTAAAAGTGAGTGAGAGGAGATGTGGGTAAGCCGGAGTTAGGTGGCCAGTGTCCCAGGCGGGGGAGAGGCTGGGGTCCAGGAGAAGGTAAAGGGAACCTGGGCAGAATGACGAGGGGGTGGAGAGAAGTGGGTGGTTCTGAAAGCTTTTGAGGATAACACGGTGAGGACTTGCCGTGGATGATGAGGAAAGAAGTAGAGAATGACTCCGCAGTCTCTGCATAGCAGACTGGAGAGATACGGCCCAAGAGAAAGACACTGCAGACAAGTTCGTGAGGGACAGAGACGAGGTCCGCTCTGGAGAGAAAGTTACTGCAGAGCACACTTCCGGCCGTGGTGGTATCATCACCTCCGCTTTTCACAGGTGGCTTTCGCCACATTCCCAAGCCACCGTAAAGGGTCCTCGTACTGGAAATGCTAATACTGAGGAGAAAGCAAGTATTATTCCTAGATTTGATGTTCCAGAGTCTGTTTCAGGTCCTGGCACCGCTCTCGCTGTGTGGAAGACACTGGGCAGACCACTGAAAAGGTCTGTGGGCTTCAGTTCCCTAGTCTTTAAAAGGGGGTAGTAGCATTTAGTCTAAGGGTTATTGTGAGGAATAAAGGCCAGCATTGATATTCAAGGACCTAGTCAACGTTCACAAGCTTTACAAACTTAATGTATTATTGTTAATCCTACTTCTATATTTGTTGTTCTTATTGCCCTCAAAACTTCAAGAGTATTAACATCAGGAATATGAACTTCAGTGTTTTCTCCATGAGTTCTTTAGGGGGAAAAAAAGGTGCTATTGAAGTCTAAATAAATATACCACCCAGAAGCTAGAGATGGTGGCCCGAAACTATTTATAAGCCTGTGTGTTTACTTGAATTCAGACATTCCCGACATGTAAATTATGCAGAGTCTGTGTCACACCAGAGCACTCTGTGTTCCTAAAAAGAATTCTCCTTTTCTCCCGGAATCCTTTACCTTTTAAAATAAATCTCATTATGGAGTGCTGACATTTTCAGTGAAACCATTCAACCAAAAGTTGCAGTTTTTAAAGACTAAAAACAAGTCTGGTTTATTAGGCAGCAGCTCATAATGTACTGCTAAGTAGATACACTCTATTTAGAGAAGTTTATGTAGATCTCTGATAAGACATTTCAGAATTTCCATCTAAGATTGAGAATGTTAAGCAGGCTATCAAGAATTCGCTCTTTTCTCTCGGTGGAGTAGGAGCTAAATATCACCGTGTGGTAGAGTGGGTGAAAACCACAGAACAAAGATCTAAACCAGATCTTTCCAGTTCCTTTCCACTGGACACTAACTCTAGTATCACTCCCGAGCAGAGCAACCTTGAATGTAACCTTCTTCAGAGGGTTGTGGATAGCTGTAGGGCTGATGCTTCAAATATGCAATGTCTGGCACACCCTAAGGTGACTATCAAAGATCTCATTCTTCTTTTTCCTCCTTCTGCTTTTTTCCTCTTTCTTTCTTTTCCACTTATGGTTTTCTGTTGCTCGTGTTCCCTCCCATTTTTCCTTCCCAAGTCCACCTTGTGTGTCTCTCTTCAGACCACTGTAGCAGTCAGCATTTTGTCGCTGTGACTAACTGAAATACTCAACCCACACAACTGAAAAGAGGAAGGGTTTGTTTGGCTCTTGGTTTCAGAGGTTTCAGTCCCGGGTCAGCTGGCTCAGGAATTTCATGGAAGACGGGTGTAATGGGACAGTGCTGCCCACTTCATGGCAGCCAGGAAGCAGAGCACAGAGGCAGAGGTGCAGGGAGAGATGTCTTCCAAAGGCATGGAATCAGTAGCCCATAGCCAACAGAGCCCCACCTCCTCACACCATGTTCAGCTGTGAACATCCACTGATGAGTATAACAACTCCGTGATTCAATCGCCACTTGAAGGGTCTCTTAATTCAATTGACAGTTCAGTGTGACTTGCACAACTGCACAGCAGAGTGGAGTATAACTCAGTTACCCAAAGTCACTTAGTTTACGATGACTAATTTCAGAGCCCCTGAAAATCCTGTCTCTTAATCTTCTCCTCAAATCGATGAGGCAAATACTAGCATTGTCTCCATTTCACAGATAAATAACCTGCCTGAACCATAGAAAGTTAAATGTCCAATCCTGCAGAGTTAGTAAACGACAGATTCCCACCTACTCTGGTGCACCACTCGAGATCTTCCAAAAACGATTATAACTGGTGTTTAGTTATTCATGCAGCTGATACTCATTTAGTACAGGTTATTAGAACCTGGTAGAAGGAATGACCCTGTGATGCAATCTCTTCCCTATGGAACTGCCACAGGTGCAACACACTCTTACACATAGTGTAGACTCTCAGCTCATACTTACTGGGTTGCTCCACCCTCTGTGATGAAGTGTCCAATGGAGCTGGCCAGTGCTCAGTGTGCTGTCTAAACATTTTGAAGATCATTCCTTCCTACAGACAGTGATAAACGCATGGCACAAAGGAGAAAACTTCAGGATGCACTCAGAAGTATTATGAGGGGCCGACTATACAGAGGAGTACAAGAGATCCTTTTTGGATTGAGCATTTGAACCCACAGCTTGAACACTGAGTCTTCTCAGCCTGCTGGGAGATGACCCAGGGCACAGGCCAAACCACACACAGACCTGTGGTTTGTGTTGAGGACCTTGGGTTTGATCTTAAGTCAAGGAGGAGCTATTTAACAGAGTGAACAGGGGAGTGATACCATTCAGCTTTTATTCTAAGAAGTACATGGAGGTGACTGTGTGGAGAATGGTTGGGAGTATAGTGCCCACATCATTCATACTTTAGCCTGATTCTGCATGGTGAGAAATCAGGCATGAACTGTTCACAAATTAACCTTTTTGGTTTTTTAGTAAAACCATGTACGAAACAATTCAAACAAACCACAAATTGCTATATTCTGAAGACTATAGTAGAAAGCAAAAATACTGTGCATCAGGGAATTATAAAATAGGCTCAGCTACTTTCAATCAAAAACTATTGTTCTTATTCCTTTTTGTTTTCACTCAGAGGAATTCTTAACTCTCAGTCAAAATTTTCCACGTGTGCCCTGAAAGGCTCTCACTCCCGAAGCAGAGCAAACCAGTAAACACTTATCTAATGTTTATTCTGTCTCTGTGTTGCAAGAATCCCACTTGACTTGTTTGCTTCAGTCTCTACCAGGTGTTTATGGTAAATGAGCAGTACATGGTGTTGGACTGAATTTAAGCCTCTTTTTTAATCTACAGTTAGCCCTGCAGCCTTTGGAGGTTAGCACAAGGTAGTGTGCAGTGCCTCAGTTTTGGAGTACAGTAGAGACTGAGTTAGAATGAAGACATTTTGGTGCTCTTGGAAGAAGACGCATTCTACGAAGGGGTCTGTTTGGCAAAGGGATATTGAGAAGTCTAAAGCAATTGAATGTCCATGTGCTGCAAACCTGGTATAGTAATCCTCCAATAGATTTCATAATGAATCGTCTTCTCTGAGCTCCGGTAAAACATTTGCTTGTCATGCTGCTCTTTCCCATCTCTCTTGGTCATGAGGAGAGCCTGAGGGATGGGTGACATTAGGTATCTCTCACTTCCTCTTCTGAGGTTACTGAATCTCGCTGTTAGCTATGTTAGGTGTTTTGGCGAGTGCTTGTCTTTAACTTGAAAAGGCTCTGTGTCATTAACTTTCTCCCCCTTGGTTCTTACAGGATAGACCACTGGAACAATGAGAAGGAGAGAATTGTGCTGGTCACAGACAAGACTCTGTTCATCTGCAAATATGACTTCCTCATGCTCAGCTGTGTACAGCTGCAGCACATTCTCCTGAGCGCTGTCCATCGTATCTGCCTGGGCAAGTTTGTCTTCCCCAAGATGTCGCTGGACAAGTGAGTACTATGTCTTCGCATGGAGGAGTGGCAGCAGGGGCATGGCAGGCTGGGAGTCAATAGCAACATCAGTTCGGAATTGTAAGCTGGGAGGATTCACAGAAACAGGGAAACTCTATGATTGAATTTATCAAACTTTTGAATTTCTACTCTGTCAGGCACCAAAGCTACAACTAGAAACAAGTTTGTGCTTTAATACGTGAAACTAACAATAAATAGCTAAATGCAAGGCGTGAAGAGGTGTGAGAACGAGGAGAAAAGCTCTTGACACAATTCATGTGGCGCATAGGTAGAGAAGTTTTCCCAGAGTACCAGTGAGCCAATATATGCTGTTGGGTAGGAGGGACCATGAAAGAAGAAGAAAAAAATTAAGTTTGTTGCAAGCAAAAGGAACAGTACATCAAAAGAGTGGAGGAAGGACCACGTGTAATCCCTCTGGGACTTCAAGTTACTCTGTAAACCCAAGTGGGAGGAATTCAAAATGGCCAGGGTATTGCTATATCAGTCTCTTTGGAATGCTCCCTGCAGGCTTCATCTGAGCAAAAATTCACTGTCTTAGAGTTGATGGCAATTTACTAGGGACTGGGAGGGATCCACAGATGAGGACTGAAAACTTGAGTGCTCCGCTTAAGGCCTTAGAAAGACCTAGATTTCCTAAATATTTTAGGTCGAGGCTATCAGGATAGCCATGCTCCTCTAAGACTGAATGTGAGCTGTTCTCATTCAGTTCCAGACTGCTTGAGGACAGGCGCCATATGTGTTATTCTTTAAGTACCTAGCATTGGGCCTGGTGCATAGTAAATTTTGAGAAATCAGGCACAGGGATTTATCTCAGTGGTTCTGCTGCCCACCTTGCAAGTGCAAGGTCCTGAGTTTGATCCAAGGTTAAAGAAAAAAAAATTTTTTTTAGAACTCTTTTTAAGACACAGAAAAAAAAGAGCACAGTTTGATGAAGTAATTGAGTTTCCTTATACGAAGATTACCATAGTGAAGACCTATTTTTTATTTACTGTTTCATGAATATGGGAAGTGATTAACTCATTTAGTTCACTAACTTTTAAAACTGGTAGGTTTTTTCAATAATACATACACATTGTAAAAATATATTTATTCATTACAAAAATTGTTTAAGACCTTTCTTTTCTATTTTAGATCCTTAGTGCAGAATTCTGTCGAGGGGTTATAGCAGCACCTTGTCCATATTTGAAGAAAGGGTCTATAAATCATAATGAATTGAAACACCTCCTGTGTATATACACTACCTCAATTTTTATATAAAAATGTATATCTATACACACATACTTGTTGCACAGTATTTGACCCAACAGGATAGACAGTATGTCATAAACTGTCCCGTCTCAAGCTGTATATGCAGTGATAAACCTTGGAGAAGTATTACGTACTCATGTATAGGTCAATCTCAGTCTTTACTAGTGCAGAATATTTTATGACTTACCTATTCATCTGGCCATTCTTTCATGGATATTTATTTTTAACCTCACAGCTACCAGCAGTGCTGCTATCAGTGTTCTTGCCTATTGCACAAATATTTAAATGCACTTTGCGCAAATATGCAAATGTATTGGTGGCAGTTCCGGAAGTGGGGTTATTAGGCCAAAGTCATGTGAGTATTAATCTGTAGAGTTTGTGCCTTCCAGATGGGTGGTACAAATGGACACTCCCATGACACAGGAGAGCATTCTCTGTCATGCACGGTGCCCAAGATTGTGTAGAGAGGAAACTTCTTACCAGTCTCTTGGTTATTTTTTTTCTTGTTTTAATTTGCATCACTAGAATTTTAAGGACTTTGAGTAGGTTTTTCTAAATTTAGAAAATCATTTCATTTTTTTTCATAAAATGCCTCTTTTGACCATATGTTTTTTTGTTTTCTATTGGGATATTGAATTTTTGTCTTATTGATTCATAAAAACTATATATCAAAGGAACTCTTCTTCTTTTATGCCATATGTGTTGGAAATATTTTCCCATTTTTTGTGTCTCATAACTTTATGCTATTTTTACTTTAAGTATTTTTATTTTATATGTTAATTATAATGCCTTTAATATTTAAATATTAAATATATCAGTATTTCAAGGCGTCTCAACTTATGACTTGTTGAGGAATGCTTTCTCTGCACTGTAATTATAAAATCAATTTCCAAGTTTTCTTTTGATCTTTTAATTTTATTTTTAAATATAGTTAAATTTATGCTTCACCTCACATTTGCTTGTGTAAAAAAATGTGCAATCAGTTTTTATTTTCCCCAGATAGAAGTCTAGGGTTGTCAGCATCATTTATTCACTATTTCATCTTCTGACACTGATATGAAGTACATCTACGTCATATATTATGTTTTCTTTGTGAATTTATGTCTTTCTAGATTCTTCATGCCATCCCTTTTATCTGTTTATTAATGGAAAATGGCTTTAATTATTTTACTCATATATTATGTTTTGATATCTGATAGCCACTTTTCATTTATTAATTTTCTTCTAATTTAAATGCTTCTGTACATTTAATTTTTCATCAGTTTGCTTATTTTTTTAAAAATCGTGTTTGGGGCTAGGTAGGATAATCACTACTAGAGTGTTTACCTAGTACATGTGAGGCCCTCAGTTTAATTTCCACCCACAAAAACAAATCTTGTTTTTAAAAGATTTTTCAAATATAAAATTAGGCTTTCGTTACTATGACAAACCCATTTCATCACATCATTTTTTCCTTCTTATACATTGTCGGTTTTAATTTGTTAATTTTTTTGAATATTTTTGTGTTTTTGCTTATGAGAGGTATGTATCTGTTATTTTTATACTTTTGTAATGTCTTTACCAGGTTTTGATACTTGGAATTTACCCCCATCATAAAACAAGTTGGGAAGTATTCTTTCATTTATTTTCTAAAAAAAAAAAAAAATTATGAGCAATGTAACCTCTTTCTTGAACATTTAATGAAGTTTCAGTTTACAAGGGAAATCTGGGCCTGGACAGTACTTGGTGGGCTAGTTTTTTGTTTGTTTATAAATAATGAATTAATTTGCTTTACCAAATTTGGCTTACTGAATAGTTTTTCTTGATTTTGCTTTAATTTTAGTAAATTATATCTTTCAAGAAATTTGTTAAATTTATTTAATTTGTAGTTAAAGACAGCTTATTAATAATATTCCATTATGGACTCTTTAATGCTGTTAAGACATTTAGTAATGTTGTTAAGACACTCGGTAACGTCTTCTTCATTTCCTAGAAAAGGTGATTTTGTGTTCCCTCTCTCTCTGTCTCTGTCTACCTCTCTGTCTCCAGTTTTAGCAACAGCACATTTTATCATTTGGATAATTCTCAGTATTGTCTGTCTGATTTTTTTTTTTAATTTTGGGTTTTTTTATTCTCATCTTTTTTAAAAATTTTTTTCAGTTTTAATTGAGTTTATTGGTACATTTTAGGGATACAGTACTGATTTTTATTTAGCTGATTTCTGCTTTCTATCATTTCCTTTATTCTATTTACTTTGGGTTTACTGTTTTCTTTTTTTTTAAGCTGTTTAAAGTTGAAACCAAGGTTATTAATTATAGACATTTCTGATTTCCAGATATGAACATTTAGAACTATAAATTTCCCTTTAAGCACTGATTTTTCTATAGCGTGTAGATTTGATATTCTGTAATCATTCAGAGATTATTTTCTAATTTTCTGATTTCTCTCATTCATAAATGCTCATTACCCAAAATTTTCTTTGCCAAATATTCTTTTTATTTTTTTGATATGGGGATTGAACTCAGGACATTGCACTTTCAAGTTTTTCTAAATATCTTTATATCACTCAATTTTAATTTAGATGACATACTGCCTTTTATTTCAATCCTTATAAAATATACAGGCTTGCTTTGTGGACTGAACAATGATGTATCTTTATGAATAGATTATGTGCTCTTGAAATAATTTTATTTGTAGTTTTCTGTACATATGAATAATTTGATAATGTTATCTTTACTAATCTAGTTTTGTAATAGACACAGCTTTTAAAAAATCTATAATTGTGAAATTTTCTAGCTCTCCCTTTAATTTTATTACTTTTTGCTTGATATATTTTGACAGTCTACTATTATTTGCATACACAATGATGATCAGTACCTTTTTCTGGTTGGCCCATCCTCTGTTAATCATGAAATACTTCTTTTTTTCTCTGGAAATAGGCAACATCTTACTGCCTATTTTAAACTCTGATATTATTGCAGATTATCCATCACTTTTATATTTACTCCTCATAAAATACAACTTATTTCGTCCATTTACTCTCTACTTATCTATGTCTTTGCATTTAAAGTGTATCTCTTATAGAAATCACATTGGTAAGTTGTGCTTTTGAGAGCATCTGTTTTTTTTTTTTTTGACAGCACCTGTCTTTAAATTTCAGTGTTTATACTGTTAATACTTTTGTAATTTTAATAGGACTACAGTGAAGGCTACAAGGCTATTATTAGCTTTTTTCTTTATGCTTTATTTTTTCTTTTAATTTTTGTTGTTGTTGTTGTTGTTGTTGTTAGCACAAGGGAATGAACTGTTGTGCACACTAGGCGAGCACTCTGCCACTGAGCTACATCCCCAGTCTTTTTTATTTTGGGACAGGTTCCTAATAAACTGCCCAGACTGGCCTTAGACCCACTGGACTCATCCTCCTGAGTGGCTGAGAGTCCAGGGGCATACCACTGTATCTGGTTACATTCCTATTTTTTGCTTGCTTTTGTTTATTTGTGTTTTGAGACAGTGTCTCATTATGTAGCCGAGGATGGCCTTGAACTCACTATGTAGCTGAGGCTGACCTAATCACTCATCTTTTGATTAAATATTCCATTATAGAATTTTAATCTATTTGGACTATTCAGTTGCAACATTACATATATGTTGTGGTTGGCTTAGGGCAGAGTTCCTCATCCTTCTCACTGCTGGCATTTGGGACAGAAAACTTCTTTGGTGTGGGAAACTGTTTCCTACACTGTAAGATGTTC